CTGTGACTCCCTGGTCATGGTGTATGGAGACAGCCTTTTTGGCACCAAGAAAGAGCAATCTGATGGAAAGGGGTGCCAGGAAAGAACAAAGAAATCCTTAAGTGGGTCTCAGTTTCCTGGTTGTCAAATGAGGACAAAGCTTCACTCCCTATTCTTGACGAGGCTCTTTTGAGGCTCAGCTAAAATGATGAAGATGAAATGCTGTGTAATCATTTTGTTCTGTCCAAATGTCAGCTGTCATTGCTTTAACCTGGCCAGGCTGGGAGGCAGGAAATCATTCACATATCTCTAGCACTGTAAGGTCTAAAAATTGCTTTCCTCCCCAAAACCCTGGGAAGGAGGTCATACAAGTCTTATTATCTCCATTTGACAGCTAAGTAGTGCCAGCACCCCAATTCAGACTCACATCTGCTCAAGGTAGAAAGCTACAGGGATGACATTTGGATTTCTGGAGCATTGCTTGAAATAAAAGAATGGCAGAACAGAGATGGAGAACACCTAACAATGCTCAGTAACAATGTTTTTCGCAAGAACTGAAAGTGACAAAGCAGATCGATTGAGGAACCATTAAACAAATTGTGTGGTCCATGAATGGAAGATTACTGGGCTGTAAGAAATGGTGACTGTAAGGAATAAAGAGAAGCATGGCACAACTTACATGAATTGATACAAAGTGAAGTAAGCAGACCCAGGAAAACAATTTACACAAAGACTACAAATGCAAATGGAAAAAACAACCATCCTAAAACAATAAAAATATTGCAAAATTACACAGAACAAGCTAAGTCCCAAAGAAGAGATATGAGAAAACACATACTCCCCACTCCTGTGCAGAGATGGGAGAGCCATGGATAAGCAACATTTTCAGATTTTCCCTATGTATTGATTGGTTCTGCTGCTTTTCTCTTAAAAAAAAAAAACCAACTCTGGGAGCTACAATAAGGATTACACAAGACCTGGCAGCTACTATGTTGAAGGACTGTAGGTCTTGAAATACTGTATTCTGTAGAGCAAAAGAGCCGGGGTTACAACCAAGGATAACTTACCCAGCAAAGTTAAGTATAATCCTGAATGAAAAAAAAAATGGCTATTTAACAAGCTCAAAGACTTTCAGGTTTTGTGGCAAAAACAGCAGAATTTAAGGGAAAATTCAATATATAAGGTCCAGGAGAAATATAAGGTAAACATTGAAGACCAATTATAAGGGACTCAATATGGTCAAACTGTTTACTTCATATATGTGAAAATATTAGCAGTACTCTTATGAGTGTCATCATTATTTGCGTAGTTTGAAAAAAAGGCTTGGACTGAGCTGAGTATGATGGGGTGATTCTAAAAAAAATTGTGTAGGGAGAGATAAAAAGGAGTAATCTCATACAAATGAGGCATAAAAAAAGAATTGATACAGAAGAAGCTAGTAGGGGGGATTGTGGGGAGTGCTGGAACCTTACTCTCATCAGGAATGGGTTAAAGAGGGAAAACATATATCTAGAAGGGTATAAAAGTCTTCTAAATTCAGAAAGAAATAAGACGGCAAGGGGATAAGATGGGTGGAGAGGACAAGGGAGGGACTTTTAGAGGGGTGGGTAGGTTAAGGAATAGGAGGACAAGGTAGTGGGTAGAAGTAAAATAGAAAAGTGAGGAGGGATAGGGTAAATGGGGTGAGAAGGCTAGTGAGAAAAAATAGGAAGGAAGGAAAATATTATTTTAGACCATTTAAAATACCTACACAGTATAAAATACCTGAGCGTATGCCTGCCAAAACAGACACAGGAAGTCTATGAACACAAACATAAAATACTTTTTATACAAATAAAGTCAGATCTAAATAATTAGAGTAATATTTACTGTTCATGGGTAGGTAACGACAATATAATTTTTAAAATGACAATTTTACCTAACTAATCTATTTATTCAATACCATCCCAATTAAATTACTCAATTATTTTCCTGAGCTAGAAAAAATAATAACAAAGTTCATTTGGAAGAACAAAAGGTCAGGAACTAAAGAAACCAGGGAAAAAAGATGTAAAGGAAGTAGATTCAGCAGTATCAGACTTTAAACTATATTGTAAGGTGAGAGCATTGTTGAAGTATAAAAAGGATAATTTTGATTATTTTAAATTAAATTTTTCTTGTATAAATAAAACATATGTAGCCAAGAATAGAAGGAATGCAGAAAATTGGGGGAAAAAAAACTTTCATAGACAATCTCTCAGATAGGATATGATTGTGTTGGAATATTGCTGTGGTGAAGGAAATGATAAGCTGGTTGATTTAGAAAAACATGAAAAGACTTGGACTTATGAAGGAAGATACTATCTACTTTCAGAGAAACAGATAGGAGGAAATAATCATAGCATGGTCTTACATACATGTGTATGAGCATATACGTGTATATATGTGTATGTTTATATATATGTATATATCCATGCTTAATTGTAGCCTTCTCTAGGGAAGGGAGGAGGGGGGAGGAAGGGGAAAAAAAATAAAAGTGCACAGCAGAGAACAGAAGAAAACCTACAAGGAAGCAAAGAAAAGCTGGATAGCTTTGAAAACAATGTGTAGTATTTATTTTATAGGTTTTCTTGAAATGGAAATTTATTATTTTATATTGAATCCTCTCTTATGATCTGCTGTATACATGGCAATGTTTTTCCCCCTTTTCTCATTTTATATTTAAATTTAAAATAAAAAAATTTACAAAAAAAAAAAACCCCTCTGTTAAAGGGGATGGCTCTCTGGGAGAAAGTAAGAGAGGGACACAGGAGAAATTTAGGCAATGTAAAAACCAAAGTATTTGGGGCAGCTAGGTGGTGCAGTGGATAGAGCACCAGCCCTGGATTCAGGAGGACCTGAGTTCAAATCCGGCCTCAGACACGTGACACTTACTAGCTGTGTGAGCCTGGGCAAGTCACCTAACTCCATTGCCTAGCCAAAAAAAAAAAATAGTATTTGTCTGCTATCTTGCAAATCTAATAAGAGGTCTTTAAACTGAAAGGGGAAAAAAAAAGTATGTGGGGGCGGGGGGGACCTGCCCATGTTTATATACCAAGTTAGAAACTAGAGAAAATAGCTACTGTGTAGGAATGGAGATTAGCAGCTGGGACCAAAAAGGTCACTGAAGCCAAAATTTAAGAGAAAAAGGAACCAGTACACAAAGGTCCAAAACATGAAAACAAGCAACAGGAATTCGAGGCCCTAATGCCTGCAGGCAGAATCACTCTCATGGGTATCCCAGAGACTTGGTGGGAGGAAATTCATGCCTGAAATAAAGCTCTGAATGTGCAGCCTTATCCAAAAAGACCTGAATAGGTAAAAGGGGGAAGGGCAACATTGTATTCTGGCTATCATTGATTGGCCAACAGCCCAAGCTCCACCTGGTCATGGTTTGGGCTGTTTCTGTTTTGGCCAGAAACCCTGAGGTTTCTCCCAGTCATTCTGGTCTATATCTTGTTACTGAGACCCAGATGACTCTGGAGGAGAAAGTGAGGCTGGTGACTCTGCACAGCTCACTTAAATTCAATCCACTTGCAAGTCATGGTATCACCTTCCTGATGCCATGGTCCTCTTTGAGAATGAATGACAAACTACAACAATAATATATTAGGAAGAAATAATCAGGTGAGAAAATCCAGGTTCCAATGGAGGAAGCATGATAGAGAGAATCTGAGTAAACATCAATGGAAATAGAAGCAATATTGTCATCAGAGTATACTACAGACCACCTGGTCAGAAAGAGGAAATAGATGCAGAGTTTGTAAAACAGATCATAAGCCCGGCAAAGAGGAATAATGTGGGAGTGATGAGAGACTTCAATTATTCAGACATCTATCTGCTGGAATTCTACAGTTGCCAAAAATAGCAAATGAGAGAGCATAGGTGGTGGAAAGAGTATGGTATTTAGAGTCAGAGTCTGGCTTTACCACTTATGTGACTTTAGGCAAATCTCTTCCCTCCCTGGGCCTCAGTTTCCTCTTCTGTGAAATAAGGAGACTGGATTGATAACCTATAGGATCCCTCTCAGCTCTCAATCTAGGATCTCATGACTCAAAGGCCAGTACTTTTTTTTTGCTAAGTCCCAGATGTTTCTTCACCAAGTTTCTATGTATGTCCTTGGGCAAGAAATTCGACCTCTTTGGATCTGCTTTCTCCAAGTAGTAAACTGGAGAGTTAATATCTACTCCTCTGTACCTGCCAGGGAGTCTATAAAGACCAGATAAGATCCTGTCTATGAAAGTCTGGGGATCTTTGGAAGAATGGACCTATAGAAATAGAAGGCACCATTATTATTTTTATTTACCATTATTACAAAGGAATTTGCCTAAGGTCACAATGTGAGTCAGCACCAGGGCTGAACTGAAAACCTAGGAAGAAAGCCATGTCAGGGGGCTCTGTATTAGATCTGGGATGGGGATGGAGGATTTGTAGCTATCCCAGATTCAACCCTAAGGCCAACATATTACAGGAGGAGGCAGGGCGGGTAAGGTGCAAGAATGAATTGTCCCTAAATTGTAACGAAGGGAATGAATAGTTACACAAGTATAGATCCGGTGTCTTAGAACAGAGAATGTCAGAGATGGGAGGGCCACAGGACAGAGAGAACTGAAGGGATGATAGATTATTCCATGGTTCGGACTTCACTCAAAGGTAAACTGAGCTTGGGACCCCCTAACAGACCAGTGACCTTCTCTCTCCCATAGGGTCCTACACAGACCCTCCCATTTCCTGACTTGTAATGCCACCTGTGGTTTGGATTGCGGAAGGGAAACACACTTTGGGTTGCTGGACAGGTAATCCGCGCCCCCCTCCTTCTTCCCATTCATTGGGCCTACATTATTCCAAATAACTCATGTCTAAAAAACCCTCATTATATTCCGCCCCCTTCCTAATTTCCCCATTTTGTTAAGGGGACCCCCCCATTCTCCTAGTCACCCAAACTCACAACACAGGAGTCATCTATCAATCTAGACTAAAACAACAAGCATTTATATAAGCACCTACTATGTGCCAGGCACTGTGGGAATTGATGGAGACACAAAAGCACAATCGAGATGGTCCCTGGTTCTCCAGCAGCTCACAGCCTAAAGGCAGAAACAAAACACATACATATAAGTAAATACAAGGTTTTTTATTTGTTTGTTTGTTTTCGTGTTAATTTGGGAGCGGGGAGCCTCTGGCAGTAGGGTGGATCAGGAAAGGCCTTAGCCAATAGGGCTGAACTTTTAAGGAAGCTCCAAATTACAGACAGCTAGGTCATCCAGTGTAAAAGACAAATTCCCCTGAAGCGGTCCCATTATTCGAATTGACAATGCATATTACCATTGAACTGAAACCAACGACCATATTTAATAATATATAATTAAATGTAATTGCATTGTAACTTCAGAGTATAAATTAAAATATGTACATACGATCGCATTGAGGTGTTCACACTAATCAGGACCTACCTCTACAGGCAGAAGGGCAGAGATAAGGACGGCAAGCATCCACGGAATGGGGGCCAGAGAGAAAGAGAGAGCTCAAAGACATGGTAATTCAGGCTACTCACACCTCCTGATAGAGAGGTGATGGACTCCAGAGGCAGAATGAGATATGCATTTTTAGACATGGCCAACAACATGGGAATATATTTTGCTTGACTCTGCATATTTGCTGAAGGGGTTGCACTTTTCTTTTTTCATTGGTGTGAGGGACAGGGGCTAGTGATAATGTTGCTCCCCCTCCCTCCAAAAAGGAAAAAGGTCCAGTGAAGCAGTTTTAAATACGCAGATGAGAAGGAAACACAGATAAACTCAACAGTTTCGAAAGCAGTATGTTGAATCGATTAGAAACTTCTTTTAAAAGGCATAATTGAGTTTGGCGGCAAGTTTTCCCTCCCACTCAGCCTGGCATCCATCCAGTTACCAAGTCTTTCAGACCTCTTCTTATAGTGTCTCTCTAATCTGCCCCTTTCTATGCACGGGGTCGCCATTTGAGGCCCTCAGGAACAGCCTCCTATCGTGCCTCGGGTCTCCCTTCTGCAATCCTGCCTTCTGGGTCTGGTGGGTTCAGGGGGATGCAGATAGCCCACAAATGCAGTCCAGAAAGCCAAGGGGTGGGTGACCCACAGGTAGGGAAGACTGAGGGAGCCCTTTAGAAGTCAGTCAGGCCCCCCCCCCAGCACACACTCCCAAAGGCCCAGCCATCATCCTGCAGGTAACTGGTAAAAGATGGCACCATCCAAAGCAGTACAGTAGGCAGTGATCAGACTGTCATAGTGGGATGGGAGCATCCCACAGTCAGTGAGACAAGGGGGTTGTGTCTAGAAGGCTGTCAGCAAATGTCACACCACTGCCCTCTGCTGGACAGAATCTAAACCACAGGCTACTATCTCAAGCTCCATCCCTACCCTCCCCCCACCCCCAAACACATTCCTAGAATCATACAATCTCAATTCAAAGGGACCTTACAGGCCGTCTAGTTCAAACCCTATCTGAACAGGAATCCCTTTTCTAACTTCTCCAACAAGTGAAAGTTCAGCCTCTGCATGAATACCTCCAGTGACAGGGAGCTCACTACCTTCCCCAAGGCAGGCCACTCCTTTTTGAGACAGTGCTGATTGTAAGAAAGCTCTTCCTTATACTAAGCCCAAATGTTCTGCCCTATAATATTCAATACTCTAGTTTGCGGTGGGGAGGTTGTCCTTCAGACTACCGCTTGGAAAACAGTCTACCCTTCCTGTTGGAGGGGATTCCTAAGGGAATGACTTCATCCATGGGGAGGCAATGATGGCAGTGTAACAGAAAGAATATCTTAGAGACAAGAAGCCTGGATTCAAATCTTGACTCTAAAACTCACTAGTGGTGTGAATATAGGCCAATCCCTTTCCCTCTCTGAGCCTCAGTTTCCTTATCTGTAAACTGAGAATAATAATACATACACTACCTGCCCCTCAGGGGTGGTGTCAGCAAAGTATATGAAATGGGAGTTTCCATTAGCTCTGGATTAGTTCTATTGGCTCAGGGCTTCCTGTGACCAGCATAGGGGCCACTGGCTGCCCTTTTTTCATGTGGCTTGGAACATTCTAGGCAAGTTCCAGGGAAAGGACCAGGGAGAGGGTGGAGGGGCAAGTCCAGGGCCCAATGAGCAGGGGGAGTGGCTGATGCACCTATAACAGGCCCTGAAAGGGCTCATTCCACCCACTGACCTGCATGTCGATGCAGCAACCAAAGCCTTTCCCAGCATTCCAGACCTGGTGCTTTTCCTTTCCAAATGGATACCTGTAGGGATTCTCTTGGCCCACCCTGAGCTCCATTCTAGTCCAAATCCCCTCATTTTACAGGGGGGGAAACCGAGGCCCTGGGAAGAGAAGTGACTTGTCCAGGGTCACACAGAGAAGCCTATCTCTAGTCCTGGAAGGGACCTCAGATAGTCCAACCCCTCCACTGGACAGATGTGGAAGCTGAGGCCCATAGAGTAGAAGGGACTTGCCCAAGGTCACACACATAATAAGAGTCAGAGGTAGAATTTGAACCCAGGTCTTCCTGACTCTAAGACCAGTGCCCTAACTTATTTATACCAAATAGCCTTCCGGCTAGCAGATGCCATCTGTGACTGGCTTGAGGGCACAGTGAGTCAGCAACAGAGCCAGGACCCCGTTTCCCAGACCTCACTCAGTTCAGTGCCTTTCCATACCATAAAACCAGAGGGCATCTTGACCCATCCACCCCCATGGAAAAGGAAGGGGGCCCAGCTGGGCACAAGGCCTGAGTGAGGGCAGCTCCAAATTCCTGGGGCCAGTGGAGGCCAAGGGGGCCAGGCTGGCCCAGGAAGGATTGATTGCCCAGGGACTGAGGTCACTGCCCTTCCTTTCCTCTCTGCCCCACCCCCAAAAAATCTCCCCAGGTTTCACTTCCTCAGTTCCACAAGCTCCCCAGGGCTGGGATCCGGGCTCATGAGAAGGCAACGAGAAGGTTTCCATTTGTTAAAAGTACTGAGAGAGGCTTTTCATTGACTTCTTTCAAATGAATGAAAACATGCTCTTGCCAATGCCCAGAGCTGCCGCCCAGGTGAGAGTACAAATAGAAATATGAATGAAACCCAGACAAACAAAAATGACAGCCTTGAGCCCCACCTTGTCTCTCCCCAAACCATAAAGGCAGGAGGGCGTTGGCCCCAAAAGGAGCCCCTCCAAGGCAGCTCATGGGCCACCTCCCCGACAAAACCCCTCCTGAACACTCCAGCTCACCTGGGCCTCTCCCTCCCTCAGGTCCCTCCCAGTCCCCAAACAGGCCCTTGGGAGCGTCTTCCAACAGTGAGAAGAATGTCTAAGTGAGACCAATAAAAGGTTTTTCCCTCATAACAACCCTGAGAGGTTGGTCATCAGAGTCATTCAACAAACACTGGTGTGCACCTACTACGTGTCAGGACTATGTGCTAGATGTTGGCGAGACAGAGGAAAAAATCAAAGCAATCCCTCCCCTTAAGGAGCTGACATTCTGAGGGAGCTGGGGGACGATACCATGTACATAATATTGAAAATATACATGTAAACAACAGGATACATGTTATTATTCCTAACTTACAGATGGGGAAATGGAGGCTCCAATACATGAAGTGATTGTTGTCCACATGGCCTGCCTCTCCGAGTCCCAGGTGCTTTCCCTAACCCACAATACCCTTTCTTCTGCCCTTCTATGGCACCAGCGGCCCACATTATTTGACCCACAGCACACGCTATGTGAACTCATCACTCACCTGCAATATAGCTCAGGCTATAAGCTCCCTGAGGGCAGGAGCTAAGTCCCAAGGTTAGGACAGAAAGGGCCTTGGCTGTTAAGAGAGTTCAGCCCCCTTATTTTACAGAGGAGGAAGATGGAACTGCGGAAGCTGGAGTGATCTGCCAGGGTCACCACAGGATCCTAAACCTAGAGATGGAAGCAGTCTTGGAGACCACTGAGTCCCACCCCCTTACTTTACAGAGCTTCCTCTGTAAACTGAGGACCAGGAGGGGAAGGGACTTAACCAGAGTCACAAAGCTAGCAAGCCTCGGGTCCCCTGCCTCAGAGGCTAGCTCTATTCTCACAACACTGGGCCTGACTATATAGGTTAGTAGTTAGAACCTGACTATATAGGTTAATAGTTAGAACCACATAGTAGGTTCTCAAATGATACTAACTGAATTGGAATCCTCAAGAGATTCCCACATGACTCAAAGAAGAGGAACCAGGCACGACTTTTCTTTGGCACCTCCTTGCAAAGGGGTGGCTCTTCTAAGTAGGCCGAGGCCCAGCAGAATGCCAAGAAGCCCCAGCTCCGACTGAGGCCAACAATCTCTAGGTAAGTAGAGAGCTCCAGGAAGACAGGTGAGCCTTTTGTGGAAAGGGGCTGAAGGGTAGGAAGTGTCCAGAATCAGGGCAGGAAGTGGCCAGAATCAGGACAGGAAGTGAACAGAATCAGAACAGGAAGTGACCAGAATCAGGGCAGGAAGTGACCAGAATCAGGGCAGGAAGTGACCAGAATCAGGGCAGGAAGAGAAGTTGCTTTCTGAGGCTGGGTATAAATCTTGCCTCTGATATTACTCCATGTGTGACTTTGGGTCACTTCCCCTCCCTAGGTCTCAGTTTCCTCCTCTGTAAAATGAGGGAGCAGGCCTAGATGGCCTTTAAGGTCCCATTGAGCTCTAAAGTTATGTCCTTGCCCTGCCACTGACAAGTGTCTAACCTTAGATGTAACAGTTCTCCAGTCTAGTCCTCAGTTTAACCCCCTCTAAAACAAGAAGATCAGATTCCACAGTTTCTAAGCTCTCCTCTATCTCCTCCCTGTGTCACTCACTCCCACTGAGGCCCAACCACGGCTTCATTACTCCCTGAGCCCTCAGGGCCCTTGCCTCTTGCCAGGCCAAAGGGGAGGGGATGTAGCCGCTGTTCCTGCTGGAACCTTCGAGGTGCTACAGGTCCAGCTGGATCCCTGAGCTTCTGGCAGGGCAGCCAGCATGCCTGGGCTCTGGCTGAACAGCCTTGCTTACCACCCACTCCCTGAGACCTCACTGAACTGGTCCGCCGGCTCCCTCCCCGCCAACTGGGGCTGGTGGACAGGCCAG